CACCAAAAATTTGTGTTCTATCTCTATTCCTAGGTTTGTTCCAGAAGCCCTTAACTCAACTGATTGGAAGGAAGCAATGGATGATTGATTTCACGCTCTCCAGTCTAACCACACATGGGACCTTACCCTCTTACCCCCTAGAAAACAAGCAATTGGATGTCGGTGGGTGTATATAATCAAACACAAACAAGATGGAAGTATTGAGAAGCTTAAAGCCCACTTGGTAGCCAAAGGCTATACCTAGACTCATGGTGTTGATTACTCTGAGACTTTCTCCCCAATAGCTAAGTTGTCATCTTTACGAGTTATTATTTCTCTTGTTGTCCACTTTGACTGGCCCTTGTACCAACTTGATGTCAAGAATGCCTTTCTTAATGGTGACCTTTAGGAGGAGGTGTACATGGAGCAACCTCCAAGGTATGCTGCTCAGGGGGAGGCTGGAAAGGTTTGTAAGTTGCACAAGGCCATTTATGGGCTAAAGCAGCCACCACGGGCATGGTATGGTAGATTCAGCAGTAGTAGTGTTGAGGTTGAGTACAGAGCAATGGCCCTACCACTTGTGAGTTGATGTGGCTGAAACATCTACTCCAAGAGGTAGGCATTCCTGTAGAGGAGCCTATCAAGTTGTTTTGTGATAATCAAGCTGCTATTCATATTGCTTCCAATCCGGGCTTTCATGAGAGGACCAAGCATATAGAAGTTGAGTGTCACTTTGTAAGAGAAAATGTGACAAATGGTGAGATTGTTACTCCTTATGTCAAGTCGGAAAATCAACTAGCAGATTTTCTTACCAAGAGCTTGTGTCGTACTAGAATGGATTATATTTGTAACAAGCTAGAGCTTTATAACATATATGCTCCAGCTTGAGGGGGAGTGTTGAAATATATTCCCATGAGGGGTATTTTTGTCTTTCGATATAACCTTGTATTTCCCCTGTTAAGAATCACTTAACAGGGGCATCTTTGTAACTTTACAATTGCTAAAACAGTGAATATCAGTTCAGGTCGATGGGGGAGAAGATGCATGTATCCATATCCATCTCTTGGATTTCAAGGAACAGGGGGGTGTATCCCCATCTCCCATATCTATATCCATATTTGTACATAGGGAATGAAACTTAGGCTAGGTTAGCCTGAACCAACTTAGAAAAAGTCAGGTTGGGCTGAACATTGTGTCAGGGTTGAAAAATGGCAACCTGGAGTTAAAATCTGTTGGAGGCCTCAAGCACCTTGACCAGACCCAAAGTTATACATGTAGATATAGATATTATGTATGTAATATATGTACCAAAATTTCCCCTTTAAAGACTATGATCTGTGGTGCAGTAATGTTATCTATTTAGATAAACTATAGCAAGTTTCAAAGAATTGAATGGTAGAAACTTCTTTTTAAAACCAAAAAGAGGTGAAGAAACCTGAGCCAACCTGAGTCCAGACTGACTAAACCCAACCTGATGTCTACCTTTGGGTTGGATTAAGGATTGATTGAAGAATAATAGATTGGGTTGGTTTAAGGTTTATCTTATGGAGTTGAAGGTCAAGTTGGGTTAAGGTGAGAGTATAGGGGATTTCGCACTTTGGATTGGGCTAGGGTTGACCTCAACCCAACCTAACCTGGTCCAAGTTGCACTTTATTTGTAAGCATCTTATAGAGGCACAACAATGGGTAATTTCTGATTTCTGCCTCATGGAGGGTTGGCAGAAAGGTTCATAGTGCCCAATTAATGAGGGACTTTCTAGACTAGCTTATTGTTTATTTTCCAGTCCAACCCACCAAGTATTGCATCTTTCCCCAAAAATAGTTCACAAATTTACTGATTTTTTTTTCAAATAAACATGAGACAAATGACCTTTTTCCACATGGCAAATAATCTATTTATTTAATTTTTTTTGGTAAAAAAAAAAGGAGCTACACAAGATGGTGGGGTAGCTCAACCCCAAACATAAAACCACCAAATAAAGGCTAAAGAGAAAGGCAGATCAGCACTAAAGAAGGAGGAGCATCCAGAGAGGAGAGAGCTTCCTGTGCTGCTCAGTTTGCTGCTAGGTTGGCTTCATGGAAAACATGATGGTATGTCACTCTGCAGTCCAACAGTTCACTAGACTTCCAGCATTCCTCGATAATGATTTTCGGTCTTCAAGGCACTTCAGGCTTCCTCTTCAGACACAATGTTTAGTTAAATTTTCTAATAAAGAGTGGGGGAACATGGACAATCATATGGACACATTTTGGGTGATACCTACCAAAGATGACCAAGAAACTTCCAACAGCCAGAATTCTCAAATTATTTGGCCTGAATAACAAAACCTAATAGTACAGACTCCATTTCATCATTCCACCTTACCAAAGGCCATATCCTCTCTTAGGTTTTGTGTCTTCAGCTCCTTTCTCAGTTCCTCAACCCATGTTCCTTTTAAGCTTTAGCCTACTCCTAGATCCTCTAAATCCCCAAAAATTACTCTTCACGGACTTCACCTATACAATAAATGTTGTTCTGTGTCCAAACCATCTAAGTCTACCCTTATTTTGTAACCTATTGTGGATACTCTTATATTCCTATCACATTCATTTCTATGTTTATGATTACGGAACATCCCTTTTCTTTTTTATAAACCGGGCAAAACCCTGGTAAAAAGACAAAGAAGCCACCGCCAGTTATGACAAAAGTCAAAACATGGGTGTATTTTTGTCTTTAAATACAGCCACTTTTTGAGTAGCAAAGTGCCCCTTTACTAAAAATATGATGTGCCAAATCACACCCCTTTTCTAATTCTATGCTGTATAGCCTTGCATTTGTACTGGTGTAGCGTCTCTCAATGCAATGGTTGATTTTCACTGTTTCAACATATTTCTTGTTGCTTTTAGGGAAACTCATAAGGTAAACTGAACTAAGCTAAGGTGTATGGTACAAAGGTTGGAGGCAGTTTGTGATTTGGAAGAGAGCATTTAGCAGGTTAGATGCTACAAAGAGAACATTGGCCAGGACATCTCGTATAACTTTTTTGCTGGAGCTTGGAGTCCCCATTAGAATGCATGAAGATTTTGGGAATCAGATCCACATGGATGTCTTTTCCAGAACTATTTAGGTACAAATATTTATGCAGGATAAACAATAGCAGGTGTACCCTCCAACTTTCTACCCAGTTAATTAGCCATGAGACATTATCAGCTATGCATGCAATCAGTGAATAGCATTTTTCATCCTCATTTTAGGAAATGGTCTACATGGCTTGTCCTCTGGTGAGTTGGTGAAAGATTGTTTGGTTTAGATGCTGTAGAGCATGAAGTTTTATGGATGCAATCAGTGAAGAGCAGCTCTCATCCTCATCTTAGGAAACGGTCTGCATGGCTTGTCCTCTGGTGAGTTGGTGAAAGCTTGTCTAGTTTTAGTGACTTGATTTGCCTTCATCACCAAGACAGTACATGAGAAGCCCTCCTTTCACTCAATTGAAACTAATCTAATGGAGAAGGGAAAATCTATTTCATGCAGTAACAAGTTCTTAAGGTAGCCTTATCCGCCAAAATGCTATCTTTTGGTTCCTCTAAATGAATAATCATCGAGTCCTTTTTCTGGATGATACATACAAAGAGACCCACATAGCAGTAAAGTAATTAGTGAATCTCCAACAGATATTTATAATTACTTCCTTTGTTTCCTGTTAACAAAAAACAGTAAAGGGTAGAATGTAGAGGGATATACAAGAAGTATACAGGGCATCTTGCTGATAGACACAGAAAGGTCAAGTCAGAGTCCTATGTTGAACAATAGCAGGGAGTAACACCAACTAGCAAACTACCCTGTACTCTGTCAGAGGCAACTGTAAATATTCAGCCTTAATGAAATTCTAATCTTATGAATATGGTTATCTTTACCGTGGTGTACCCAAATAGGACCTAGTACTAATAAAGTCCTAAAACTAGGTAATCAAGTACAGTTGACACTGTTAACTCAACATTCAAATGGAATAGCTAAAACAAATGTAAAGATGCCAACTTGATGCCTAACTAATGCTTAAATGATTCAAATGATTCATGATGACAAAATCTTTCTGTTTTTTTTTTTTTTTTTTTTGGGGGGTGGAGGGGGAGGGTTGGAGGTTTGGGGGTTATGACAAATAGGGTTGTGAAATCAAACGCAGGGTTTAATTCATTTCTTTCTTTTTTTCATTTTCATGTTTGAATGTTACATGCATAGTGATACACAAGTAACAGCACGCCAATTATAGCTGGAGAGGTACTAACCACTAATAAGGTCGATATATATTTTGTTATTTTTAAATAAGTATAAATTGGTGCAAAAGCCCTTACAAAACCAGTTATTTCCTGGTAAAACGTTTTCAAAACCATGATACATCACAAAATAACGAGTCCGGATCTGCAACAGAGTACAGACGACGGTTGGGACATTTTGAAGGAACAGGGGAAGAAAACAATATCCTTTTTCTTATGAAAGATAATCAATTTTCAGTTTTTAGGTAATTTAAACAGTAAGATAGGAAATAAATAATAACCAAAGTTTTCCAGAGAAACTAAAAACAAATTATCCTTTTTAACAAAGAAGAAAAAAAAAAGAATAATATTCCAATCTTCTGTCCAACCAAACATAAGAAAGGAAAACGAATTTGTCTTACAGAAAGATCTTCAGAAGTTGTTTCCAAGCAAATGAAAAGCGGTACAACTAATAACTATTTTCCTTCAAACATCTTTCAGAAACATATTCGAAAGAACGAAGATTTTAAAACCAGAAAAGAAAAAAAAAAAACAAACTTTAATTTCACAACAATCGGATGGAAGGAGAAATGAGGCCAAATGAAAGAACAGCCCTAAAGATAGCAACGTAAAGGAAACAGCAGAACAAAATAATGAATACAGTAACGACCTGCTTAATTACTTACTGTACATTTATTAATCGTTATCAAGCTAGAACAGTTTAAACGATAAATTTATAAAAACGAAACGTATACAGAATAAAATGTGCAAAAGAATAAAGCAGAGGATACGTGATGTTATTTTGATGAGCTATATAACACCTTTTGTTCTTTTCACCAGTCTTAGGCAACCAGGTGGGATGAATTGAATAGAAAATGGCGGAACGCGCGAACATCCAGAGAAATCAGAAAAGGAGAACCATACTCCACTGATGTGATTCTTCAGTCAACAGAAAGCCATCACCAAGCCACGGTTATTTCCACTACGCTCCGATACTCCCCTTTTCATTCAATAGAAGTGAAGCAGAGTAGGAACTACGGATCACGGAACTAAAAGAAGGAAAAAAAAGAACAATTACCGAACCAGGCAACAGACGAGGGTTCCCTCCAGGAATCTTCCTAAAATGGTAAAATAATTCGTATCTTTCAATGGACGTGACGATAGTATATGACGTGTATGCATTGAAGAAGAATAATTCGTATATCCTTGCTACTTTAGTTCTTTTGATGAAAGTTTTGTACAAGTTAACATATGGACCTCACCACGGAACAAATCCTCAATGGAGAATAGTAATTTCAGAAGATGCATTTTTAAGATGGCTAGTTTTTGGTTGATGAATTGTTTTAAAGATTAATTAGTTACTTAGATTTAAGAGAGAATAGCAAAAAAAGAAAATAGAGAAAATTTGGTAGGGTATTTTAGTAATTTAACGGTTTTTGTTATCTAACTTAACGGTGAAAGAGGTATTTACCGCAATGTAAAAATTTAAGGGGACTTTTGTTGCAAATTAAAGTACAGGAGAGTTTATGGCAGACCTATAGTACAAGGGAGGTCTTTATAATTTATCCAAAAAAACGTTGATCCGCTCTGCGACACTGGCCCTAAGAGTGCAAATCGGTTGATCCGATTTAACAGTTTATACTGTTTCGGACTCCAACTTCGTGTTGCCTATTGAAATTTTGACAACGTTGCACCTATCTGTGAGCCACCAATTTAATGCAACGCTTTTTGCTTAAAAAGAATGTCTGAGACCCAATCCTCATCCCACCTGATGTAACAAAGTTTATTATAATAAATTCAATATTACATATTTATATAATCATTAGATATAGAAGTAAAAAACAAAAAGTAATCCATTTTATAAAGAAATATGAAACGGACTCGGATTAGCTCCACCCTAGATCTGATAGGATTTTGCATTGGAATCAGATTTTAATTGGATTGAAATCGGAAGTGGCTGTACTTGATCCGAATCCAACCCATTTACAGCTCTAGTGCCATAGATACAATCAGTTTAATTTATTATCTGAGAAGTACGTTTCTTCTATAGCAAGCACAAAATTCTATTTAAAAGTCTTTAAAGCAAAGGCACAGATGAATAAGATGGTAATAAATTAAATTAAATCCATATAAATATGTTTTTTTTTCATCTTCTTATATCAAGTTAAAGTTAGCAGCTCTCCAAATTGTAACCATGTCATCCCAAGCTCGCAGATGTAACACTCTTTTCCAAAATCAAGGCTCTTCCTATGCGACACCCTAGTTCACCCAACAATCCCAGCGTCAAAGGTTCAATGTTGTGTTTTTTCTTTTAATTTTTTTCTTTCTTTTTTTTTCAAATTTTGTTCAATAGGGCTACACTAGGGGTGGGGTGGACATGAAATTGATTTTTTCTCAAGATGTTTGAATTCAATTCAAAAAAAGTTTGATTTAATTTGAACCAATTCGAGATTCAAGCTAAGCGTGAGCCTCTCTCTCTATATATATATATATTATTGATGGATTTGAGATTGAGCTCAAGCCAAGCAAAACATATAAAATTTTGAGCCAAGCTGAATTCGAGTCAGAAATGCTATGTCAAACTGAAATACCAATGTTTTAAAAACCGGTTCAGAGGTTGAACCATTTTTGCCTCTGATTCGCGGTACACCAGTTCAATCGGCGGGGTCAAACGGTTCAGACCATGCCATGTCATCATATATACATACATGCATGCATATATATATATATATATATATATATATATATATATATATATATATATATGTATAATTATATATTTTATCAATAAATAATATATAAATATGTTTTAGATATGTTATATGTATTTTTATATTTAATTTATGTTTTTTAATTCAGTTTTAAATTTAATTTATATATATAATTTTTTTTGTAAAAATAGCAAGACCTGAGCTCCCTACTAAGGACGAGCTCCCTACTAGGAGCCCGAGCTCCCTACTAAGGACCTGAGCTCCCTACTAAGGACCTGAGCTCCCTACAAGGAGCCCGAACTCGCTACTAAGGACCCGACCTCCCTACAAGGAGCCCGAGCTCTCTCCTGGGCCATAAACCTCACCAGGCCGTGACCCGAGCTGGCCCATGGAAGCTCGGAGCATTCCCCAAACCGAACTCAAGACTTTGTCCCCCCCGTTACTCCGGCACTTCGCCTCCGAAACGCCAGACTAACCAAGCATACCATACCTGACACCAAGGATGTCCGTTTCCAAGGGCGGCGCACCTGACTGATTTGGGATCTGACGCTTGACAGCTGCACTTCAAACGGCCTCCTGCCACCGCCACCTGCCACCGTCGTCACCAGCCGCAGAAACGACTCCGACAAAAGGAGTAGTGGCGGTTCTGCCCGGACAGAAGGGATGACATCCAAACTGGTAGGAACTCAGAGATAGTCAGGTGCGATCTGACAGAAGCCTGGAAGTGAGTGCGCGAGGTGGTTATAAAAGGCTCCCTACCCCCAAGAACAAGGTATGCAAACTTTGCGCTATCTGGTTTATCTTGCCTTTG